GGTTCAATTCGTGACAGGAGCCTAGCTAGGTACGTACAGACGTGTACAGCTCTGCCAAATTAAGTCTTCTCCAAAATATTCAAGATTCTGCCATGATTATGTTCTTTATTTGTATTTTATGGTTTACAAGCAAGTTGTTCTGTCCGGTTCATGGGCAATTCTGCAGTCCAAGTGGAGGTTAGTTTTGTCAGACAAATATGGTCGCTCCAAGGAAACTTGGAACAGCTATAAAAGTGAAATTTTAAGTTAAATCTAAAACGCTTTGTATTCTAACCAGCGCTAAAAGCCAATTGGTTAAGTTAATTGCAGACCGCTATGAAGTTTAGCAGGTTATAAAGTTCAGTTCGCGAGATGAGGCTTGTAAATAGAGAAGGTTGGAGGAAAGTTTGCATTGAATACGAAGATAGAATCCCAGCAATACAAGACAGAATCAATATAAAACTTTAGTGCCACCTGAAAATGTCAAGGATCCTATTTGACAAGAAAAGAGAGTCTGCTTTCGTATATTTGATAGAATTCCAAGTAAACTTTTTGAGCGTGAGATAACGGTTAACAAGGAAAGTCATATTCAAAGTATAGGTTAGAGAAAAGTTTGCACTGAATTCAAAGATAGAATTCCGGCAATACAAGAATCAATATCAAGCTTCAGTAGTGCCACCTTATTTTATATTATTCCAACCATTTTAAAAGTTTGAAGAAACGATTGACAAGGATCGAAACTAGTTTTATTAAGTTTTAAGAAACATCATCTTTTCAGTAACTCAGTACTTGTCTGGTAAACTATGTGAAAAATAATAGCAAAAAAACTTTTTCTGGAGCTTAAATAAATTCACAATGTTATAATGAAATGAAGCTATTGTTTAGCTTTACGGGAAAAGCCCTCCGAAATTATTGTCAGTTTTAGTTTACTTGAAAATAAGAAACATGTTCTACAGCCTACTTATAAGCCCTAAACTTAAATAGGTGCAAAATACCGCATATGCCCCTTCAGCGGGCTTGGTAAGCGACATAAACAAGAGTGTGATGGATTAAAAATTAATAGATGTATAGAAAATTTAAGACTTATGATGCAACTTTATTTCCCCTGTTTTAATCATACGTTTTTTGCAACGGTTAAATATTCATAAACTTTTTTGTTAGGGAGGAGTTACAGTATTATTAAATGTGATGTTTTAAATGCCGCAACATTCTACATAGGTCGGATTTTGAACGTCAAGCTATTTTCAGTACTCATTCTTTTCTGTTTCTCACAGGCACCTGTCGCCAGCTAGAGTTCGATCACACTGTTGATGGAAAGCGCCTCAAATATCACGTGATTCGTACTATTGACGTCACTGGTGAAAGATCCTGCCGGACTTTGTGCTACATGGAGCCAAACTGCGTCAGTTACAACTTTAACAAAGTCACAAGGAAATGTGAGCTGAATAATTCCACTTTCAGAGAAGGGAAGGAAAAGATGGAGACAATCCCAGATTATGTAAACTGTGGAGCTAAGGTACGCGAGGTTTTAACACAGTAAACAGTAGATAAAGAATAGAATTTAAAGGAGAAAGGAGTGAGTTTACATTCAAGTTAGCTCAAAGAAGTATTTAAAGCAATGCCTTTTTCTTGTCTAATACCAGAATGCCTGTGCGAATAAACCTTGTAAGAACAAAGCAACCTGTCAAACCGGTTTTACCGGTAAGGGATACCATTGTTTGTGTCTTGTTGGATTTGAAGGAGAACACTGCAAGATCGGTAAGTCGATTGAAATCTTTGTCTAGTCCAACTTAAAGTTAGGCTTGATGACTATTAGCTGCTCATGTCTTCCGGTTTATTTCTTGGCGTACCTACCTGACCGGCTAATGTGTTGTCCTTTAAGACATTGACGAATGTGCTAAAAGTACCCACAAGTGCGATGACAATGCTCACTGCACTAATACCGAGGGAGGATACAACTGCACTTGTCATCCGGGATATTACGGAGATGGAAAGAATTGTGAACCAGGTGAGTTTGTAGATGTCGTTATGACCTTACTTAAAACTTTAAAGTCAATAAGAACCACAATAATATGACTCAGAAACAGTTGCAGTTATATTCAGTTTATTAGCAATATGGGAAAGGAAGGACACTATAATTGGAGATAGCATTTCCAGGAGCAGATACAACGGAGCGAGCAACTCCCATACGAGGCCTAGCTATGTGACAAATGATCGTAGGGGGGTCGCATATCAATTTTGTCTCTTCCAAAATGTAAGACAACATCATGTGGACTAAAATCGATTACAAATATTTAGGCCCTAAATTAAGGAATTCTCATAGAGATAATGTTAGATTATCTTAGGAACTTAGTTTCTTTAAAAACCTAATATTCAAAATTGACTTTGGGTGTTGGCAGTCGTCATCATATCTTTTATGCAGCTCAGTTTTATTTTATATTAGTTTTACATTGTATTTTAGGCATTTTGTATTTAGTATTTAGCTTCAATAGTTTTAGCTCGCTTAAACGAGCACCAGTGTGTTATTGTTGTAAGTCAGTTTAAATAAATATTCTATCTATCCATTGATATCTTGACCAGCATTTTTACGGCTCCCCCCTTTTTTTGAGGGGGGGGGGGAAGTTAGCTAAAATGTAACATTCTAAAATACTGAATTTAATTTTATGGTAAAACAAGAATACCAAATTTTTTGTTTTACGTATTTCAAAGGAAGAAAGAAAGAAAGCTTGTGCTTAACCCAGCCTATATGAACATTTAACAGAAACTGTGACAATTCAGCGCATGATTAATTTTTTTTACTTTGTTTTGTAATACAGCTTTTTCGTGCAAAGACATATTTGACAAGAAAATGTGAGTTAAAGGTTACATATCTTTTTAAAATCTTTATCCATCCAATACATTTGTACAAGAGTCTCTTGATTTGTAGCCACATGTTGACTCTTGATTTATAACAAAGAAAGAAAAGAAAAACGAAAAGAAAACTAAATATAAGAAATTAAACTGTGAGGAGCTAATGTGACAAATGAAAGTACTATAAACAAGTGGCTTAACCTACCGTTTTTTTATGATAAAAGATTGCGCTCTTGAGGCTGTAGTCCACTACCTCACATTAACGTCTAATTTCAGTGGTCGACTAAAACAGTATTTCCTTTTGTTTTCAGGGATAAGGGCATTCTTATGTCACCGTTTCTATTGTTTTCTCAGCCAATTGTGTGAGCCTTTCAGGCAATAGCTTGGCGGTTTAAGCTTGCTATGCCGAAATTTCCATTAACAAGTACTTAAAATAAATTTCTTTTCAGATCAAACGAGAGCAAAGCCTACCCATTGATAATGGGAAATAAGGTCGTTGAGGCTTACTGTCACATGACCGTTGCTTCTTCTGAAAATGAAACATGTGGAAATGGAGCATGGACTATAGTCATGAAGACGGATGGTAATGAGGTACCTCCAGATTCATGTGCTAATCTCTTCAAATAAAGCTTACCAGAAGAACCTTGTTCCCGATATTGTGCCAATAACAGCCGTGTTTATGATAGAAATTCTACTGAATCCATGAATGGGATATTTTTCAAGGGAGAATGGTTGCTTTTGGATTTCTTTTTCCGCCTATAAGTTGATTTCTATTCCTTCCTAAGGTAACCGAACAGTGCATTTCCCTCTATTGACAACTTATTCGCTCCAGAAGGAAATAAAATAACTTATTATCAGCTATCTCAAAAGGATTAGAGGCATTTTAATAAACTTGATATCGGCAATCTGATAAACATAGCAAAAAGAGAGGGCATTGTAATACGGGGAATAGCGGGTTCAGCTCAAAATGAATATGTAACCGTGACCGGCAAACAGTGAGTCAGACATTGTTGCCAGATAATGCATTTATCTTAGCTCGATCCCCTTAATTCTCACGCTTAAAAAGGCGCTTGACAAAACGTTTGTTGGAGCAGAAGCCTCTTGTAACTCCAAGTAACTCTTTCACTTAACACTTTGGATTATCCTATAGGCTTGAATTTTTGTTGCCTGTTTTATCTTAAGCCCATTATCAGTATTTAAAACCGGACATTAAGAGCCGGTGTTCTTAAAAGTAACCGGGGCCATTTTCTTCTCAATTTTCATTCCTATACAATTTCTTCCCCATTTTTCTCTAACAGCAAACTTTTCGCTACAATTCCGACCTCTGGAACAACAAGAAAACATTCAATCTTGATGGAGGGAATACTGGGTTTGACTCACAGGAGACTAAACTACCCTCCTACTGGAACACGTCCTTCACCAAGATCTGCCTCGGTATGAAAATCAAAAACGAGATCAATTTTATTGTCATTCACAAGCAGGCGAACTCCTTGTACTCTCTGATCGCTGATGGGGAATACCGCAACACCTCACTGGGTCGTGACAAGTGGATGTCGCTGATTGGCTCTAATGCCTCATTGCAGCTTAAATGTAAAAAGGAAGGGTTCAATGCAAAGTGTAGCTTGAATAAACGGTCCAAAACAAGAATCGGTATTCTCGGCAACGATCAAAATAGGTGCCATGAATGTAACTCCAGATTGGGGTTTGGAAGTGGAGGGAACTTTGATGATAGGCGAAATACATGTGGAAATTTGGATAACCACAAAGCAAAAAGACTGAGCATCAAGACAATGGGGTATATCCTGGTGCAGTGAGAACAATGCTCCTTTGCATGTCTTTGAACGAGTAGTAGGAATATGTTATACACAATCCTTTTAACGAAAACTCATCGTTACGATGATGAGTAGAAGTAAGTTAAGTTATAGACAAACATTATACACGTATAGACCTAACGTTTTTTTCTGTCGAGGCATGTGAACAGACAACCAGTGGGGATCATGTTTGTTTGACCAAGAAGGTTATAGAGCGGTTCTTGGTGTGTATAAAAGTAGAAGTGCTCGGATTATTTGTCCTTCTATCCCTGGCCATTGAAACCTGTGGAACTGAAGAAACGTTTTTAACAACAACTTAAATCTAAACGTTTCTCAATGTATGAAAGCTACTTAAAAACGAAGAAATATGATACAAATAAAGTACAACAATAGGAATAAAAATAATGGTATTAATAGTGATATCAAAAATAACAAATAACTGTCCAAGGCCATATTAAGTATATCTACAACTCAGAAAATCTAACAACCACATATATAAGTATGAAAATTAAAAAAAAAACCTATTAACAAATTAAGAAGAGGTTTGGTGAAATAAATATGTCTTTAAGTGTTTTTTGAAAGAATTCAAGGAATGGCATTTCTTGAATGTGCTGGTATGCTGTTCCATAATTTAGGTCCTGCAATAGAAAATCTTCGATCACCATAAGACTTTAGCTTAGTTCTTGGGACTTAAAGTAACTTTTTCGACCAAGAACGCAAAAAGAAGGAGCTGTTACAAAAACTGAGCAAATTGTTGGATGTATAACTTGGTGAAAATCCTTGACAGCCTTATATACTAACAATGAGATTTTATAAATAATACGGTATTCAACACGGCAACCAATGTAATTCTATTAAGCTGGGTGCTATATGTTCATACTTCTTGGTGAATGTTACGATACACGCTGCTCTATTCTGAACTAGCTGTAGACGGTTTAAGAGAACTTAAGATAGTCCATATAGAATCGCATTACTGACAGTAATCCAAGCTGGTAATCACGAAAGCATGAATGATTGCTTCAGTAGATTCACGATCCAAATAAATGTTCTTATCCTACTAATATTAATTAAATGGAAATGACATGTCTTGTATATCTTTTTACTGTGTTCTTCAATATCAGCACTGGGATCGAGTATCACTCCAAGACAACGAACCGTCACCCCCAACACGAACAAATTCCAAGGAAGGACTGGGCTGATAACGTGAACTGAGTAGATGCAGTCGGTTTTTTCCTCCTAAGACCACTAAGAATCATTCAATTTTTGATTTCCTGTACTCATATTTTAATGCTAGACTTTGCTGAGAAGAGAAGATCATCACTTCCTAATTTAAATGACACATAGAGCTGACTGTCATCAGCATAGAGATGGTATGTAAGATTGTGTCTCTTTATGATATCAGCCACTGGCGCGCCTGAGCCACTGGTGAGGTGTACAAAACATATAACAGAGGCCCAAGAACAGACCCTTGCGGTACGCCCTAATTATGCATATATATTACTACTTTTATTGTTCAGGGAAAAGATAATTACGTGACATACTAAGAACTTGAATACGTAAGTAGCTTAATTCTAGTATGTGTTTCGGCGTAGCCTACTTGGAGCTGCGCCCACAGATCGTAAGGTAGGAGGAGTATACTTTATATTAAAAAAAAGAACTGTACATTGTTGCTACCTTACTAGTTTGACGTCACTGTATTTTGGAGCTACCTTAAGGGTTAGAGTTAGGATTAGATACCTACCTCCAGAATACCATGCTATAACAGTACTTTATTGGTACTATTTTAGTTTCGCAGTGATGTGATTTGACGATAATGGCCTAGTAAAGTCGTATTTATAAACAGAACCAATGAAAAATGAAAATCCAGTCTTCGTCGCATTTAAACTTTTCTATTAATCATTTCTTGAATTTAACGTGGCTAACTCTATTGTTTTCCATCTAAGTTTCTTGACCCACTCCGCCTGCCAGTATGACGTCACATAGTAACGGACAAGAGCCTCGGGTTGCTTGTGCAAATTAGCAAGGGATACGACAGTTATTTGGACGAGTGAGGTCGAGGAAAAGCTAAGAAGCTAACAAATATCGCTATATATCGCTAATTTGATCGAACGTGTGCGAGCTTTGGCGTTGCTATAATCTGCTTGTGTAAACCGTTTTGATATTTTGTGTCTGTGTTTGTACAATTTTGTTAATTTGTTTTGCGGTCCGTGTTGCGGGATCGCTATCTATTTCACGGGACCGGCAAGGTCATCAAAACTTAAATCTTGTTTTTTCTCTAAAATAGGCAAGGACTAGTCTCCAGAATAGGAGGTTCCATTCACAGATCACGCATGTTTATATTTCATCTATTCTTTTGCTAATTAGATGGGCCTAACTTCATATCATTCCTTTCGAGTGTGGGCCTCTGCAGTGAGCTCCTAATTCTCCACCAAATTCAGTCAAGCTAGTTCTATCGATTATCTACATCGAGTCGGCCCGTTGAACCCGAAATAATGCGAAATAGCTTTGAAATACGAGCTTAAGCTAACTCAAATGAGTATATTTGAGTTCATGACAAATACAGCTCCACCAGCTTCAAACAGTGTCTATGGCAGAGAAAAAATGTTTTGATACGACAAAATTTCAAATCATGTGAGTCACTTTGGTGTAGTGGTCAAGGAGTTGCTTGTACGTGCAGACAAACCGGGTTCGACTCCCGTCGACGCTGATTTCTGTTTCTTTTAACCGTTTTATTTTTTTCTGTTTGGTCCCTTATTTTTAACACTGTTTTTCCTTTTGGCCAGGTTTCTTTCTTTATTCTTACTGCTGACCCTGCTGGTCAAGAATTTGGATCAATATATATTTTAAGCTTAAGTCCGGAGTTTTATTTTGGAAAAGAGATTTCAAAAGCTCTTGATCTGCATACTGGCCAGGCTTACGACCAGATAAAAACCATAAGCAGTCAAGACATGTCCCTCCGCTGAAACAGCCGAATTTTTTTCAATTTTAGTTGAAATCATGACAAACAACACACAGTACACCACAAACTGTACTAGTTTACACCCAACAACTACCAGTGACCCACTAGTGAAATGTATTAAAACTTGCCTTTTGTACATCGTCTTAATCATCAATATTATTACTCTAAAATCTCCACTGGGTTTGGCCCAAAAGATAATTAAACGAAACCTTTTATTGGTTTTCGGGTTTAATTACAGAATTACGGGTGTATGCCCAATACAGTATTAAAATGCGGTACAAGAATCAATGCTCACAGTCTCTCACAAATACCTGTCGTTTAGCTTCCTCTTTCAAAGCTACAGCTAAGCGAACTTTGAGGGGAATGATATAGGGTTCCATTAGCTCTGAAGAGCTGAAAATACACAATGTAAAGTATAATACCTCCTTTCATGAACTTCCTATTGCTGTGTCTAAATTCCTCAATCTTGCTGTGCACTGGCCCTCAAAAGTGTGACCGGTCGGTATGATTGCCCGTAAAATTGGCTCGACGATAGAAAGAAATCTTTAAAATTCATTACACCACTGGACATTTCATTCCAAAAAAGTACTTAAGTCTAGTTTTCTATGAAAATAGCAACGTTAAAATCTCCAAATAAAAGAAATCGGAACAGTATTTCCATGACAAAATCGAAATTTTTATCCGTCTCTTCGATGAACACTGCTCGCCATTTTGAAAGTCACTGACGCGAGACGTGACGTCATACTGGCAGGCCGACTGTACCACAGATTTCCTTGGGGACACCTCCCCCCCCCCCCCGTGTCAGCCTTTATGCTATTTTACTTCACAGTTTTGAAAAAATAGAATAAATTTATAGCATGATTTAAAAACGGGCGTTAGGTAAAAAAGAAAAAAAAAACTATTTTTTCCTGCCTGTCTTGTCATGTTAATGACTGCTTATTGACCGGCTATTTGTAGGTACCATTAATGGCATTTGAAACTGATACTGCTTGTTTCTTTCCATCTTGTAGTTAATTTGTTAAAGGGTTTGTCAGATGGACTCTTCAAGAACACTTTATCTTATGAATTTTCTTAAGAGGCATGTAGTTAGGGAGATATGTAGACATTGGCTAATCTAAATGTTTAGTCTGTTCTATTCGCACGGACGAAGAAATCCATCAAAAATAATGGATTAAAGCAGGAAAAAAATACGAAGGTTGAAAAATTAAACTTTAATACATGCGTTAGTTAAAATGTGTGTAAATAAATATCCATACATCATACATATTTTAGCTGTTAGATGTCAAGCTTATTGTTCAAAGACTGAAAGGTAACGCCCATTAGTAAATGAATTGTCTTAAAACGCACTCTGCAGGTTGAATTTATGACAGAAGCTTTGTAGAGGTGTGCACAGTTCTTTCAAACTTCCGAAAAAAATTTCTGGCATTTGTCATTATGTTATTTGTTCTTATTTTCTGGATTGCTACCGAGTTGTTATGTCCGGTTCACGGACAATTCTGCAGTCCAAGTGGAGGTTAGTTAAATTTTGTCACACGCATATATGATAGCTCCTAAGAAATTTTGAACAGTTTAAAAGTTAAAGTTAAGTTAAAAACAATTGGTATTTTAACCAGCGAAAAAAGCCAATTTGCCAAGCTACCTTACAAACTGAGAACGTTTATCAGGTTACTTAGCTAAACAAATGTAAAGAGATTGTTTCAAAGTAAAGGTTTTAGGAAGGTTTGCACTGAATACAATTGAAAGCTATTTTAGTTATTCATCTGACTCAGGACAGAATCAATATGGGGGTTTTGTGCCACCTGAGTGTATCAAGGATCTTTTTAACTAATAAGCGTTTAGTACATCATTTTATGTTATTTCCACTCAGCTTAAAACATTTGAACATTTTACAAATGGTTAACAAGAAACGTTGTCTTTTATTAGTTCAAGGAGTGTCTGATGATTTAATATAAGTCTGTTATATCAACGCGTCTTTCATTAAATATGACTTAACTACTACCTTTTCAATACCGACTACTGACAATAACTTCATTAACTAACTTCATTAATTGGCAAGGAATTGAGGGATAACACGTTTCAGTCACTTTTCTTTTCGAATGATAGTAGTGAAAATTAATAAGTTAGAGTATTTACGTATACTCACCTGTTGGTTGTTGAATATGCGCTGGGTACTGAAGTCACTCGGATTTTGCAAACGGGCTGCTTATTCTGTTCCTGTTCAGTTCATTTCTGTTCTGTTTGTATTTGTCTTAGCTTTACCTAAAAACTGATAAATAAATCCCATGTTTCAGTTTTATTTTAACTGGGCTTAAGGATGTACAAACAGGGATGCAAAATTCTAAGACATTATCTTTTAGTTTTAACTTGTATTATTCAAAGTTGTAGCTAATGCCATATTGTTGTTTGGACTTTGGACTTTTTCTGGAGCTTAAATAAATTCACACTGTTATAATGAAGTGAAGCCATTGGTTGGCTTTACGGGAAAAGCCCCCCGAAATTATTTTCAGTTTTAGTTTACTTGAAAATGAGAAACATGTTCTACAGCCTACTTATAAGCCCTAAACTTAAGTAGGTGCAAAATACCGCATATGCCCCTTCAGTGGGCTTGGTAAGCGACATAAACAAGAGTGTGATGGATTAAAAATTAATAGATGTATAGAAAATTTAAGACTTATGATGCAACTTTATTTCCCCTGTTTTAATCATACTTTTTTTGCAACGGTTAAATTTTCATAAACTTTTTTGTTAGGGGGGAGTTACAGTATTATTAAATGAGATGTTTTAAATGCGGCAACAATCTACATACGTCGGATTTTGAACGTCAAGCTATAATTTTCCGGTACTCATTCTTTTCTGTTTCTCTCAGGCACCTGTCGCCAGCTAGAGTTCGATCACACTGTTGATGGAAAGCGCCTCAAAAATCACGTGATTCGCACTGTTGACGTCACTGGTGAAAGATCCTGCCGGACTTTGTGCTACATGGAACCAAACTGCGTCAGTTACAACTTTAACAGAGTCACAAGGAAATGTGAGCTGAATAATTCGACTTTCAGAGAAGGGAAGGAAAAGATAGAGACAATCCCAGATTACATAAACTGTGGAGCTAAGGTACGCAAGGTTTTAACACAGTAAAAAGTAGATAAGGAACAGAATTTTAAAAATTCACTTTTTAAATTAATATTTGGTTAAAGGAGAAAGGAGTGAGTTTACATTCAAGTTAGCTCAAAGAAGTATTTAAAGGAATGCCTTTTTCTTGTCTTTTACCAGAATGCCTGTGCGAATAAACCATGTAAGAACAAAGCAACCTGTCAAACCGGTTTTACCGGTAAGGGATACCATTGTTTGTGTCTTGTTGGATTTGAAGGAGAACACTGCGAGAGCGGTAGGTTGTTTGAAATCTTTGTCTAGTCCAACTTAAAGTTATGCTTGGTGGCTCTTAGCTGCTCATGTCTTCCGGTTTATTTCTTGGCGCACCTACCTGACCGGCTAATGTGTTGTCCTTTAAGACATTGACGAATGTGCTAAAAGTACCCACAAGTGCGGTGCCAGTGCTTACTGCAATAATACCAAGGGAGGATACAACTGCACTTGTCATCCGGGATATTACGGAGATGGAAAGAATTGTGAACCAGGTGAGTTTGTAGATGTCGTTATAACCTTACTTAAAACTTTAAAGTCAATAAGAACCACAACAATATGACTCAGAAAAAGTTGCAGTTATATTCAGTTTGTTAGCAATATGGGAAAGGAAGTACACCATAACTGGAGATAGCATTTCCACGAGCAGATACAACGGAGCGAGCAACTCCCATACGAGGCCTAACTATGTAACAAATGATCGTAGGGGGTCGCATATCAATTTTGTCTCTTCCAAAATGTAAGATAACATCATGTGGACTAAAATCGATTACAGATATTTAGGCCCTAAAGATAATGTTAGATTATCTTAGGAACTTAATTAAAAACCTAATTCAAAATTGACTTTTGGGGTATGCAGTCGTCATCATATCTTTTATGCATCTCAATTTTATTTTATATTAGTTTTACATTGTATTTTAGGCATTTTGTAGCTTCAATAGTTTTAGCTCGCTTAAACGAGCTCCAGTGTGTTATTGTTGTAAGTCAGTTTAAATTAATATTCTATCTATCCATTGATATCTTGACCAGCATTTTTACGGCTCCCCCCTTTTTTTGACGGGGGGAGTTAGCTAAAATGTAACATTCTAAAGTACTGAATTTAATTTTATGGTAAAACAAGAATACCAAATTTTTTGTTTTACGTATTTCAAAGGGCATGAGATAAGCCATTTCAGCAAACTGAAGAAAGCTTGTGCTTAACCCAGCCTATATGAACATTTAACAGAAACTGTGACAATTCAGTGCATGATTAACTTTTTTTACTTTGTTTTGTAATACAGCTTTTTCTTGCAAAGACATATTTGACAAGAAAATGTGAGTTAAAGGTTACATATCTCTTTAAAATGTTTAGCCATCCAATACATTTGTAGCCACATGTTGACTCTTGATTTATAACAAAGAAAGAAAAGAAAATCGAAAAGAAAACTAAATATAAGAAATTAAACTGTGAGGAGCTAATGTGACAAATGAAAGTACGATAAACAAGTGGCTTAACCTACCGTTTTTTTATGATAAAAGATTGCGCTCTTGAGGCAGTAGTCCAGTACCTCACATTAACGTCTAATTTCAGTGGTCGACTAAAACAGTATTTCTCAGGGATAGGGGCATTCTTATGTCACCGTTTCTATTGTTTTCTCAGCCAATTGTGCGAGCCTTTCAGTGATGTGCTGCTCGGCCCTTTTGAAGCAATAGCTTGGCGGTTTAAGCATGCTATGCCGAAATTTCCATTAACAAGTACTTAAAATAAATTTCTTTTCAGATCAAATGAGAGCAAAGCCTACCCATTGATAATGGAAAATAAGGTCGTTGAGGCTTACTGTCACATGACCGTTGCTTCTTCTGAAAATGAAAGATGTGGAAATGGAGCATGGACTATGGTCATGAAGACGGATGGTAATGAGGTACCTCCAGATTCATGTGCTAATCTCTTCAAATAAAGCTTACCAGAAGAACCTTGTTCCCAATATTGTGCCAATAACAGCCGTGTTTATGATAGAAATTCTACTGAATCCATGAATGGGATATTTTTCAAGGGAGAATGGTTGCTTTTGGATTTCTTTTTCCGCCTATAAGTTGATTTCTACTCCTTCCTAAGGTAACCGAACGGTGCATTTCCCTCTATTGACAACTTATTCGCTCCAGAAGGAAATAAAATAACTTATTATCAGCTATCTCAAAAGGATTAGAGGCATTTTAATAAACTTGATATCGGCAATCTGATAAACATAGCAAAAAGAGAGGGCATTGTAATACGGGGAATAGCGGGTTCAGCTCAAAATGAATATGTAACCGTGACCGGCAAACGGTGAGTCAGACATTGTTGCCAGTTATAATGCATTTATCTTAGCTCGATCCCCTTAATTCTCACGCTTAAAAAGGCGCTTGACAAAACGTTGGTTGGAGCAGAAGCCTCTTGTAACTCCATGTAACTCTTTCACTTAACACTTTGGATTATCCTATAGGCTTGAATTTTTGTTGCCTGTTTTATCTTAAGCCCATTATCAGTATTTAAAACCGGACATTGAGAGCCGGTGTTCTTAAAAGTAACCGGGCCATTTTCTTCTCAATTTTCATTCCTATACAATTTCTTCCCCATTTTTCTCTAACAGCAAACTTTTCACTACAATTCTGACCTCTGGAACAACAAGAAAACATTCAATCTTGATGGAGGGAAGACTGGGTTTGACTCACAGGAGACTAAACTACCCTCCTACTGGAACACGTCCTTCACCAAGATCTGCCTCGGTATGAAAATCAACAACGAGATCAATTTTATTGTCATTCACAAGCAGGCGAACTCCTTGTACTCTCTGATCGCTGATGGGAAATTCCGCAACACCTCACTGGGTCGTGACAAGTGGATGTCCCTGATTGGCTCTAATGCCTCATTGCAGCTTAACTGTAAAAAGGAAGGGTTCAATGCACAGTGTAGTTTGAATAAACGGTCCAAAACAAGAATCGGTATTCTCGGCAACGATCAAAATGACTGCTATGAATGTAACTCCAGATTAGGGTTTGGAAGTGGAGGGAACTTCGATGATAGGGGGAATACATGTGGAAATTTGGATAACCACAAAGCAAAAAGACTGAGCATCAAGACAATGGGATATATCCTGGTGCAGTGAGAACAATGCTCCTTTGCATATCTTTGAACGAGTAGTGGGAATATGTTATACACAATCCTTTTAACGAAAAGTCATAGTTACGATGATGAGTAGAAGTAACTTAAGTTATAGACAAACATTATACACGTCTAGACCTGACGTTTTTTTATGTCGAGACATATGAACAGACAACCAGTGTTTGTTTGACCAAGAAGATTATAGTCCGGTTCTTGGTGTGTATAAAAGTAGAAGTGCTCGGATTATTTGTCCTTCTATCCCTTGCCATTGAAACCTGTGGAACTGAAGAAACGTTTTTAACAACAACTTAAATCTAAACGCTTCTCAATGTATGAAAGCTACTTTTAAAAAACGAAGAAATATATAATAATAAACTAATATAACAAACTTTATTTCTATAGTGTCTATATCACTAGCTGTTCTAGGCGCTTTACAATATTACAAAAAATGTATTAAGATACAAATAAATTACAACAATAGGAATAAAAATAATGGTAGTAATAGTGATATCAAAAAAACAAATAAGTGTCCAAGGGCATATTAAGTATATCTACAACCCAGAAAATCTAACAACCACATATATAAGTATGAAAATAGAAACCTATTAACAAATTAAGAAAAAGCTTGGTGAATAAATATGTCTTTAAGTGTTTTTTGAAGGAATTCGAGGAATTGGGATTTCTTAAATGTGCTGGTTTGCTGTTCCGTAATTTAGGTCCCGCAATAGAAAATCTTCGATCACCAGAAGACTTTAGCTTAGTTCTTGGGACTTAAAGTAACTTATTCGAGCAAGAACGCAAAGAGAAGGAGCTGTTACAAAAACCGAGCAAATTGGATATATATCTTGGTGAAAATCCTTGACAGCCTTATATACTAACAATGAGATTTTATAAATAATACGGTATTCAACACGGCAACCAATGTAATTCTATTAAGCTGGGTGCTATATGTTCATACTTCTTGGTGAATGTTACGAAACGCGCTGCTCTATTCTGAACTAGCTGTAGACGGTTTAAGAAAACTTTAGATAGTCCATATAGAATCGCATTACTGACAATAATCCAAGCTGGTAGTCACGGTAAGTTTCTTGACCCACTCCGCCTGCCAGTATGACGTCACATAGTAACGGACAAGAGCCTCGGGTCGCTTGTGCAAATTAGCAAGGGATACGACAGTTATTTGGACGAGTGTGGTCGAGGAAAAGCTAAGAAGCTAGCAAATATCGCTATATATCGCTAATTTGATCGAATGTGTGCGAGCTTTGGTGTTGCTATAATCTGCTTGTGTAAACCGTTTTGATATTTTGTGTCCGTGATTGTATAATTTTGTTAATTTGTTTTGCGGGCCGTGTTGCGGGATCGCTATCTATTTCACGGGACCGGCGAGGACATCAAAACTTAAATCTTTTTTTTTTCTCTAAAATAGGCAAGGACTAGTCTCCAGAATTGGAGGTTTCATTCACAGATCACGCATGTTTATATTTCATCTATTCTTTTGCTAATTAGATGGGCCTAACTTCATATCATTCCTTTCGAATGTGGGCCTCTGTTGATCTTCTAATTCTGCACCAAATTCAGTCAAGCTAGTTCGATCGATTATCTACATCGAGTCGGCCCGTTGAACCCGAAATAATGCGAAATAGCTCTGAAATACGAGCTTAAGCTAATTTTCCTCAAATAAATATGTTTGAATTCATGTTGAATGCAGCTCCACCAGCTTCAAACAGCGTCTATGGCAGAGAAAAAATGTTTTGATGTGACAAAATTTCAAATCATGTGTGTCACTGTGGTGTAGTGGTCAAGGAGTTGCTTGTACGTGCAGATAAACCGGGTTCGACTCCCGTCGACGCTGTTTTCTGTTCTTGTACCGTTTTATTTTTTCTGTTTGGTCTCTTTTTTAACACTGTTTTTCCTTTTGGCCTTTTTTTCTTTATTCTTACTGCTGACCCTGCCGATCATGAACTTGGATCAATATATATTTTAAGCTTAAGTCCGGAGTTTTATTTTGGAAAAGGGATTTCAAAATTAAAGCTCTCGATCTGCATCCTGGCCAGGCTTACGACCAGATAAAAACCATAAGCAGTCAAGACATGTCCCTCCTCTGAAACAGCCGAATTTTTTTCAGTTTTAGTTGAAATCATGACAAACAACACACGGTATACCACAAACTGTACTAGTTTACACCCAACACCCACCAGTGACCCACTAGTGAAAGGTATTAAAACTTGCCTTTTGTACATCGTCTTAATCATCAATATTATTATCCTAAAATCTCCCCTGGGTTTGCCCCCAAAAGATAATTAAACGAAACCTTTTATTGGTTTTCGGGATTTAATTACAGAATTACAGGTGTATGCCCAATACAGTATTAAAATGCGGTAAAGCAACAAGATTCAATGCTCACAGTCTCTCACAAATACCTGTCATTTAGCTTCCTCTTTCAAAGCTACAGCTAAGCGAGCTTTGAGGGGAATGATATAGGGTTCCACTAGCTCTGAAGAGCTGAAAATACGCACAATCTAAAGTATAATACATCCTTTCATGAACTTCCTATTGCTGTGTCTAAACTCCTCAATCTTGCTGTGCACTAGCCCTCAAAACTGTGACCGATCGGTATGATTGTCCGTAAAATTTGCTCGACGTGATAAAATCGAAATTTTTATCCGTCTCTTCGATGAACACTGCTCGCCATTTTGAAAGTCACTGACGCCAGATGTGACGTCATACTGGCAGGCCGACTGTTCCACAGATTTCCTTGGAGACACCTCCCCCCCGTGTCAGCCTTTATGCTATTTTACTTCACAGTTTTGAAAAAATAGAATAAATTTATAGCATGATTTAAAAACTGGCGTTAGGTAAAACAGAAAAAAAATTAATTTTTTCCTGCCTGTCTTGTCATGTTAATGACTGCTTATTGACCGGCTATTTGTAGGTACCATTAATGGCATTTGAAACTGATACTGTTTGTTTCTTTCCATCTTGTAGTTAATTTGTTAACGGGTTTGTCAGATGGACTCTTCAAGAACACTTAATCTTATTAATTTTCTTAAGAGGCATGTAGTTAGGGAGATATGTAGACAGGGGCTTATCTAAATGTTTAGTCTGTTCTATTTGCACGGAGGAAGAAATTGAAGAAATCCATCAAAAATAATGGATTAAAGGAGGAAAAAAATACGAAGGTTGAAAAATTAAACTTTAATACATGCATTAATTAAAATGTGTGTAAATAAATATCCATACATCATACATATTTTAGCTGTTAGATGTCAAGCTTGTTGTTCAAAGACTGAAAGGTAACGCCCATTAGTAAATGAATTGTCTTAAAACGCATTCAGCAGGTTGAATTTATGACAGAAGCTTTGTAGAGGTGTGCACAGTTCTTTCAAACTTCCGAAAAAAATTTCTGGCATTTGTCATTATGTTATTTGTTCTTATTTTCTGGATTGCTACCGAGTTGTTATGTCCGGTTCACGGACAATTCTGCAGTCCAAGTGGAGGTTAGTTAAATTTTGTCACACGCATATATGATAGCTCCTAAGAAATTTTGAACAGTTTAAAAGTTAAAGTTAAGTTAAAAACAATTGGTATTTTAACCAGCGAAAAAAGCCAATTTGCCAAGCTACCTTACAAACTTAGAACGTTTATCAGGTTAGTTAGCTAAACAAAAGTAAAGAGATTGTTTCAAAGTAAAGGTTTTAGGAAGGTTTGCACTGAATACAATTGAAAGCTATTTTAGTTATTCATCTGACTCAGGACAGAATCAATATAGGGGTTTTGTGCCACCTGAGAGTGTCAAAGATCTTTTTAACTAATAAGCGTTTAGTACATCATTTTATGTTATTTCCACTCAGCTTAAAACATTTGAACATTTTACAAATGGTTAACAGGAAACGTTGTCTTTTATTAGTTTGGGGAGTGTCTGTCTGTTATATCAACGCGTCTTTAATTAAATATGGCTTAACTACTACCTTTTCAATACCGACTACTGACAATAACTTCATTAACTAACTTCATTGGCAAGGAATCAACACCCAACGGCAATTTTCGGGAAAATATCTGTTCGGAAGACGATTAGAGATCTAGAATTTTCGGAGCATTTGTTGTAAAATTTCTTGCTTGCCTGCCTCTCCTATGATTTTCGAACATCTACAAAATGGTATAATTACCCATTTTTACCGGATTTTGACCTTAAAAAAGGCCACCTAGAATTTCGGGAGCCTTTTCCTGGCTGAAATTTTCAAGAAGGTAAGTTTTGATCCCTATAATTTTCTGATCACTAGACTTTCAGCTAGGAAATCCGAACAGATGGAAAGTTTTTAGGGGATAGAAATATGCCTATATCTACCGTTTGAATACCAAAATACGTTTATCAATGCTATGTTAAGTGGTTTTGAACTATATTCTCATTGGGTGCCCCTGAGGAACTGAAGGATAACACGTTTCAGTCACTTTTCCTTTCGAATGATAGAAGTGAAAATTAATAAGTTAGAGAATTTACGTATACTGTCGGTTGTTGAGTATGCGCTGGGTATTGAAGTCACTCGGATTTTGCAAACGGCTGCTTATTCTGTTCCTGTTCAGTTCTGTTCTGTTCTGTTTGTATTTGTCTTAGCTTTACCTAAAAACTGATAAATAAATCCCATGTTTCAGTTTTATTTTAACTGGGCTTAAGGATGTACAAACGGGGATGCAAAATTTTAAGACATCTTTTAGTTTTAACTTGTATTATTCAAAGTTGTAGCTAATGCCATATTGTTGTTTGGTTGCTTAAAACTGACATGCGAACGCTTCTGATATTGCGAACCTGTTTTTGTAATTCATTTCTTCGTTGCTTTTGTGACGCGGATATAGAGGATATTACATGGCCGCGCGGGGATGCGAATTTTATCTTCGAGTGCTGAAAGTATCTGTCAGCACGAGAAGATAAAATTCGTATCCCCAAGCGGCCATGGAATGTTCTGTTTATTTTATAGATACTGATGAAATTCCTACATAAAACACAACTTTTTTTTTTCGGCAAATATTCCTGAATGTTCTTCAAGCTCGGAAAAGTATCGATTTGAACATTTGGCAGCTTGACATAACGGTTAACAAGGAAAGTCATATTCAAAGTAAAGGTTGGAGGAAAGTTTGCACTGAATTCAAAGATAGAATTCCGGCAATGCAAACAGAATCAATATAAAGCTTCAGTAGTGCCGCCTTATTTTATATTATTCCAACAAACTTAAAAGTTTGAAGAAACAATTAACAAGGATCGAAACTAGTTTTATTAAGTTTTAAGAAACATCATCTTTTCAGTAACTCAGTCCTTGTCTGGTAAACTATGTGAAAAATAATAGCAAAAGAACTTTTTCTAGAGCTTAAATAAATTCACACTGTTATAATGAAGTGAAGCCATTGGTTGGCTTTACGGGAAAAGCCCCCCGAAATTATTTTCAGTTTTAGTTTACTTGAAAATGAGAAACATGTTGTACAGCCTACTTATAAGCCCTAAACTTAAGTAGGTGCAAAATACCGCATATGCCCCTTCAGCGGGCTTGGTAAGCGACATAAACAAGAGTGTGATTGATTAAAAATTAATAGATGTATAGAAAATTTAAGACTTATGATGCAACTTTATTTCCCCTGTTTTAATCATACTTTTTTTGCAACGGTTAAATTTTCATAAACTTTTTTGTTAGGGAGGAGTTACAGTATTATTAAATGAGATGTTTTAAATGCGGCAACAATCTACATACGTCGGATTTTGAACGTCAAGCTATAATTTTTCGGTACTCATTCTTTTCTGTTTCTCTCAGGCACCTGTCGTCAGCTAGAGTTTGACCACACTGTTGATGGAAAGCGCCTCAAAAATCATGTGATTCGTACTGTTGACGTCAATGGTGAAAGATCCTGCCGGACTTTGTGCTACATGGAACCAAACTGCGTCAGTTACAACTTTAACAAAGTCACAAGGAAATGTGAGCTGAATAATTCCACTTTCAGAGAAGGGAAGGAAAAGATGGAGACAATCCCAGATTATGTAAACTGTGGAACTAAGGTACGCGAGGTTTTAATACAGTAAACAGTAGATAAGGAACAGAATTTTAAAAATTCACTTTTTAAATTAATATTTGGTTAAAGGAGAAAGGAGTGAGTTTACATTCAAGTTAGCTCAAAGAAGTATTTAAAGGAATGCCTTTTTCTTGTCTAATACCAGAATGCCTGTGCGAATAAACCTTGTAAGAACAAAGCAACCTGTCAAACCGGTTTTACCGGCAAGGGATACCATTGTTTGTGTCTTGTTGGATTTGAAGGAGAACACTGCGAGATCGGTAAGTTGATTGAAATCTTTGTCTAGTCCAACTTTAAGATAGGCTTGATGGCTCTTAGCTGCTCATGTCTTCCGGTTTATTTCTTGGCGTGCCTACCTGACCGGCTAATGTGTTGTCCTTTAAGACATTGACGAATGTGCTAAAAGTATCCACAAGTGCGGTGCCAATGCTTACTGCAATAATACCAAAGGAGGATACAACTGCACTTGTCATCCGGGATATTACGGAGATGGAAAGAATTGTGAACCAGGTGAGTTTGTAGATGTCGTTATGACCTTACTTAAAACTTTAACATCAATAAGAACCACAATAATATGACTCAGAACCAGTTGCGGTTATATTCAGTTTATTAGCAATATGGGAAAGGAAGTACACTATAATTGCAGATAGCATTTCCAGGAGCAGATACAACGGAGCGAGCAACTCCCATACGAGGCCTAGCTATGTAACAAATGATCGTAGGGGGTCGCATATCAATTTTGTCTCTTCCAAAATGTAAGACAACATCATGTGGACTAAAATAGGGGAAGGTAGCGAAAATGTAACGTTTTAAAATACTGAATTTAATGTCATGGTAAAACGAGAATACCAAATTTTTTATTTTACGTATTTCAAAGGGCATTGAAGATAAGCCATTTCAGCAAACTGAAGAAAGCTTGGCTTAACCCAACCTATATAAACATTTAACAGAAACTATGACAATTCAGTGCATGATTCATTTTTTTAATTTTGTTTTGTAATACAGCTTTTTCGTGTAAAGACATACTTGACAAGAAAATGTGAGTTAAAGATTACATATCTTTTTAAAATGTTTAGCCATCCAATACATTTGAAGCCACATGTTGCCTCTTGATTTATAACAAAGAAAGAAAAGAAAAGTGAAAAGAAAACTAAATAAAAGAAATTAAACTGTGAGGGGCTAATGTGACAAATGAAACTACGGCAAATAAGTGGCCTAACCTGCCGTTTTTTATGATCAGATTGGGCGCTGGAAGCAGTAGTCCAGTACCTAACACTAACCTCTAATTTCAGTGGTCGACTAAAAACAATATTTCCTTTTGTTTTCAGGGATAGGGGCATTCTTATGTCACCGTTTTTCTCAGCCAATTGTGTGAGCCTTTCAGTGAGGTGCTGCTCGGCCCGTTTGAGGCAATAGCTTGGTGGTTTAAGCATGCTATGCCGAAATTTCCATTACAAGCAAGTACTTATAATAAATTTCTTTTCAGATCAAATGAGAGCAAAGCCTACCCATTGATAATGGGAAATAAGGTCGTCGAGGCTTACTGTCACATGACCGTTGCTTCTTCTGAAAATGAAAGATGTGGAAATGGAGCATGGACTCTGGTTATGAAGACGGATGGTAAAAAGGTACCTCCAGCTGCAGATTCATTTACTAATCTCATCAAATAAAGCTTACGAGAAGAAACTTGTTCCCGATATTGTGCCAATAACAGCCGTGTTTATGATAGAAATTCTACTGAATCCATGAATGGTATATTTTCAGGAGAGAATGGTTGCTTTTGGATTTCCTTCTTTTAAGTTAATTTTTACTCCTTAATAATCCTAAAGTAACCGAACAGTGCATTTCCCTATAATCGCTCATCAATTCTTAAAGTTTAAGTTTATTATTGACAACTTATTCGCTCCAGAGAGAAATAAAATATCTTACTATCAGCTACCTGAAAAGGATTAGAGGCATCAAATAAACTCGATATCGGCAATCTGATAAACATAGCCGGCAAAAAGAGAGGGCATTGTAATACGGTGAATAGTGGGTTCAGTTCAAAATGAATATGTAACCGTGACCGGCAAACAATGAGTCACACACTGTTGATGTCAGTCATAATGCATTTATCTTAGTTCGATTCCCTTCATTCTCACACTTAAAAAAGTGTTTTACAAAACTTTGGTTGGAGCAGAAGCCTCTTGTAACTCGATGTAACTCTTCCACTTTAAGCTACTGAACACTTTGGATTATTTTATGGGCTTGAATATTTTTTGCCTGCTTTATCCTAAGCCCTTTATCAGTATTTAAAACCGGACATTAAGAGTCCATTCTTAACAGTAACAGGGCCATTTTCTTTTCAATTTTCATTCCTTTACAATTTTTCCCCATTTTTCTCTAACAGCAAACTTTTCACTACAACTCCGACCTCTGGAACAACAACAAAACATTCAATCTTGATGGAGGGAAGACTGGGTTTGACTCACAGGAGACCAAACTACCCTCCTACTGGAACACATCCCTCACCAAGATCTGCCTCGGTATGAGGTTCAACAACCAGATCAACTTTATTGTCATCAACATGATTGCCAGTTCCTTGTACTCTCTGATCGCTGATGGCCAATACCGCAAGACCTCACTGGGTCGTGTCACGTGGAAGTCGCTGATTGGTTCCCGTGCATCATTGCAGCTGAACTGCAAAAAAGAAGGGTTCAACGCAAAGTGTACCTTGAGTGGCCGTTCCAAAACAAGAATTGGTATTCTTGGCAACGATGAAACCAATTGTCATAGATGTAACTCCAGATTGGGGTTTGGCAGCGGAGGGAACTTCGATAAAACAAATACATGTGGAAATTTGGATAATGACCGGAATAAAGGACTGAGCATCAAGACAATGGGGTATATCCTGGTGCAGTGAGAACAATGCTCCTTTGCATATCTCTGAACGAGTGGTGGGAATATGTTACAGACAATCCTTTTAACGAAAACTCATCGTTACCATGTTGAGTAGAAGTAACATAAGTTAGAGACAAACATTATAGACGTCTAGACCTAACATTTTTTTTATGTCGAGGCATATGAACAGACAACCAATGGGGATCAGGTTTTTTTTGACCAATAAGATTATAGGGCGGTTCTTGGTGTGTATAAAAGTACAAGTGCTAGGATTATTTTTCCTTCTATCCCTTTCCATTATAACAACTTAAAGCTAAACGTTTCTCAATGTATGAAAGCTACTTTTAAAAAACGAAGAAATATATAATAATAAACTAATATAATAACCTTTATTTCTATAGTGTCTATATCACTAGCTGTTCTAGGCGCTTTACAATATCACAAAGAATGTTTTAAGATACATATAAATTACAACAATAGGAATAAAAATAATTGGTAACACTGATATCAAAAATAGCTGTACAAGGGCATAAATATATCTATAACTCAGAAAATCTAACAACCACATACATATAGGTATGAAAATTAAATAAAAACCTATTTACAAATTAAGAAAAAGTTTGGTGAAATAAACATGTCTTTAAGTGTTTTTGAAGGAATTCAAGGAGTTGGCGTTTCTTAAATGTGCTGGTATGCTGTTCCATAATTTAGGTCCTGAAACGATACGGAATAACAGCGAGACAGACAGCAATAGAAAATCTTCGATCACCATAAGACTTTAGCTTAGTTCTTAGGACTTAAAGTAACTATTCGACCAAGAACGCAAAAAGAAGGAGCTGTTACAAAAACTGAGCAAATTGGATGTATAACTTGGTGAAAATCCTTGACAGCCTTATATACTAACAATGAGATTTTATATATAATACGGAATTCAACAGGCAACCAATGTAATTCTATTAAGCTGGGTGCTATATGTTCATACTTCTTGGTGAATGTTACGATACACGCTGCTCTATTCTGAACTAGCTGTAGACGGTTTAAGAGAACTTAAGATAGTCCATATAGAATCGCATTACTGACAGTAATCCAAGCTGGTAGTCACGAAAGCATGAATAATTGCTTCAGTAGATTCACGATCCAAATAAATGTTCTCATCCTACTAATATTAATTAAATGGAAATGACATGTCTTGTATATCTTTTTACTGTGGTCTTCAATATCAGCACTGGGATCGAGTATCACTCCAAGATAACGAACAGTCACCCCCAACACGAACAAATTCCAATGACGGACTGGTCTGATAACGTGAACTGAGTAGAAGCACTCGGTTTTTTCCTCATTTAGCCTAAGACCACTAAGAATCATTCAATTTTTGATTTCCTGTACACATATTTTAATGCTAGACTTTGCTGAGAAGAGAAGATCATCACTTCCTAATTTAAATGACACATAGAGCTGATTGTCATCAGCATAGAGATGGTACGTGTCTCTTTATGATATCAGCCACTGGCGCGCCTGAGCCACTGGTGAGGTGTACAAAACATATAACAGAGGCCCAAGAACAGACCCTTGCGGTACGCCCTAATTATGCATATATATTACTACTTTTATTGTTCAGGGAAAAGATAATTACGTGACATACTAAGAACTTGAATACGTAAGTAGCTTAATTCTAGTATGTGTTTCGGCGTAGCCTACTTGGAGCTGCGCCCACAGATCGTAAGGTAGGGGGAGTATACTTTATATTAAAAAAAAGAACTGTACATTGTTGCTACCTTACTAGTTTGACGTCACTGTATTTTGGAGCTACCTTAAGGGTTAGAGTTAGGATTAGATACCTACTTCCAGAATACCATGCTATAACAGTACTTTATTGGTACTATTTTAGTTTCGCAGTGATGTGATTTGACGATAATGGCCTAGTAAAGTCGTATTTATAAACAGAACCAATGAAAAATGAAAATCCAGTCTTCGTCGCATTTAAACTTTTCTATTAATCATTTCTTGAATTTAACGTGGCTAACTCTATTGTTTTCCACCTAAGTTTCTTGACCCACTCCGCCTGCCAGTATGACGTCACATAGTAACGGACAAGAGCCTCGGGTTGCTTGTGCAAATTAGCAAGGGATACGACAGTTATTTGGACGAGTGAGGTCGAGGAAAAGCTAAGAAGCTAACAAATATCGCTATATATCGCTAATTTGATCGAACGTGTGCGAGCTTTGGCGTTGCTATAATCTGCTTGTGTAAACCGTTTTGATATTTTGTGTCTGTGTTTGTACAATTTTGTTAATTTGTTTTGCGGTCCGTGTTGCGGGATCGCTATCTATTTCACGGGACCGGCAAGGTCATCAAAACTTAAATCTTGTTTTTTCTCTAAAATAGGCAAGGACTAGTCTCCATGGCCAGAATAGGAGGTTCCATTCACAGATCACGCATGTTTATATTTCATCTATTCTTTTGCTAATTAGATGGGCCTAACTTCATATCATTCCTTTCGAGTGTGGGCCTCTGCAGTGATCTCCTAATTCTCCACCAAATTCAGTCAAGCTAGTTCTATCGATTATCTACATCGAGTCGGCCCGTTGAACCCGAAATAATGCGAAATAGCTTTGAAATACGAGCTTAAGCTAACTCAAATGAGTATATTTGAATTCATGACAAATACAGCTCCACCAGCTTCAAACAGTGTCTATGGCAGAGAAAAAATGTTTTGATACGACAAAATTTCAAATCATGTGAGTCACTTTGGTGTAGTGGTCAAGGAGTTGCTTGTACGTGCAGACAAACCGGGTTCGACTCCCGTCGACGCTGATTTCTGTTTCTTTTAACCGTTTTATTTTTTTCTGTTTGGTCCCTTATTTTTAACACTGTTTTTCCTTTTGGCCAGGTTTCTTTCTTTACTCTTACTGCTGACCCTGCTGGTCAAGAATTTGGATCAATATATATTTTAAGCTTAAGTCCGGAGTTTTATTTTGGAAAAGAGATTTCAAAAGCTCTTGATCTGCATACTGGCCAGGCTTACGACCAGATAAAAACCATAAGCAGTCAAGACATGTCCCTCCGCTGAAACAGCCGAATTTTTTTCAATTTTAGTTGAAATCATGACAAACAACACACAGTACACCACAAACTGTACTAGTTTACACCCAACAACTACCAGTGACCCACTAGTGAAATGTATTAAAACTTGCCTTTTGTACATCGTCTTAATCATCAATATTATTACCCTAAAATCTCCACTGGGTTTGCCCCCAAAAGATAATTAAACGAAACCTTTTATTGGTTTTCGGGATTTAATTACAGAATTACAGGTGTATGCCCAATACAGTATTAAAATGCGGTAAAGCAACAAGAATCAATGCTCACAGTCTCTCACAAATACCTGTCAATTAGCTTCCTCTTTCAAAGCTACAGCTAAGCGAGCTTTGAGGGGAATGATATAGGGTTCCATTAGCTCTGAAGAGCTGAAAATACACAATGTAAAGTATAATACCTCCTTTCATGAACTTCCTATTGCTGTGTCTAAATTCCTCAATCTTGCTGTGCACTGGCCCTCAAAAGTGTGACCGGTCGGTATGATTGCCCGTAAAATTGGCTCGACGATAGAAAGAAATCTTTAAAATTCATTACACCACTGGACATTTCATTCCAAAAAAGTACTTAAGTCTAGTCTTCTATGAAAATAGCAACGTTAAAATCTCCAAATAAAAGAAATCGGAACAGTATTTCCATGATAAAATCGAAATTTTTATCCGTCTCTTCGATGAACACTGCTCGCCATTTTGAAAGTCACTGACGCGAGACGTGACGTCATACTGGCAGGCCGACTGTACCACAGATTTCCTTGGGGACACCTCCCCCGTGTCAGCCTTTATGCTATTTTACTTCACAGTTTTGAAAAAATAGAATAAATTTATAGCATGATTTAAAAACGGGCGTTAGGTAAAAAAGAAAAAAAAACTAATTTTTTCCTGCCTGTCTTGTCATGTTAATGACTGCTTATTGACCGGCTATTTGTAGGTACCATTAATGGCATTTGAAACTGATACTGCTTGTTTCTTTCCATCTTGTAGTTAATTTGTTAAAGGGTTTGTCAGATGGACTCTTCAAGAACACTTTATCTTATGAATTTTCTTAAGAGGCATGTAGTTAGGGAGATATGTAGACATTGGCTAATCTAAATGTTTAGTCTGTTCTATTCGCACGGACGAAGAAATCCATGAAAATAATGGATTAAAGCAGGAAAAAAATACGAAGGTTGAAAAATTAAACTTTAATACATGCGTTAATTAAAATGTGTGTAAATAAATATCCATACATCATACATATTTTAGCTGTTAGATGTCAAGCTTATTGTTCAAAGACTGAAAGGTAACGCCCATTAGTAAATGAATTGTCTTAAAACGCACTCAGCAGGTTGAATTTATGACAGAAGCTTTGTAGAGGTGTGCACAGTTCTTTCAAACTTCCGAAAAAAATTTCTGGCATTTGTCATTATGTTATTTGTTCTTATTTTCTGGATTGCTACCGAGTTGTTATGTCCGGTTCACGGACAATTCTGCAGTCCAAGTGGAGGTTAGTTAAATTTTGTCACACGCATATATGATAGCTCCTAAGAAATTTTGAACAGTTTAAAAGTTAAAGTTAAGTTAAAAACAATTGGTATTTTAACCAGCGAAAAAAGCCAATTTGCCAAGCTACCTTACAAACTGAGAACGTTTATCAGGTTAGTTAGCTAAACAAATGTAAAGAGATTGTTTCAAAGTAAAGGTTTTAGGAAGGTTTGCACTGAATACAATTGAAAGCTATTTTATTTATTCATCTGACTCAGGACAGAATCAATATAGGGGTTTTGTGCCACCTGGGAATATCAAGGATCTTTTTAACTAATAAGCGTTTAGTACATCATTTTATGTTATTTTCATTCAGCTTAAAACGTTTGAACATTTTACAAATGGTTAACAAGAAACGTTGTCTTTTATTAGTTCGAGGAGTGTCTGATGATTTAATATAAGTCTG